ATCAGAAACATTTGTAATAAAATAACACTCCTCATAGCCACAACATACTCTCTCTCATCATCTGCAAAGTCTAGAGACTCCCGTTGGGAGGTTAACATGGTCACTAACTTGAAAAGCTGCCCCTTTTAATCTAAAATCATGAAGACCCTCATCCTCATAGGGCCAGCAGAACACCTGCACGCTATTGCAGGTCACTCGACTTTTTCTACTGTGGGGCTAAACACATTCCTATTATAATTTGTTTAGATATTTATTAATCATGTCAAAAACATAATATCTTAGTGATTTTTTTTCTGTAACAGAACGTCACAGACTGAATCAATATGACAAATAGAAATTTATTGGCATTTAGTCTTCAAGGCTTCATATCAAGGTGTGTGCTTCTGGTGAGGGCCTTTGTGCTGGGTTGGTTCATGGTGAAACACGATAGCACTGAGCTCAAGAGAGAGGACGGACAACCCTGTAATAAATACAACCCTGTGAAAGTGGAGCCCTCATGACCCAAACACTTCCTATGAGACCCCAGTTTGGGCTGGATGCACAGCTCAGTGGTGGAGCCTAGCATGCACAGACCTTGGCTCAATACCCAGCACTTCAAAACTAAACCAAAATAAATGTCAACTAAGCCTCACCTCCAACATTGCTTCATTAGGGATCATGCTTCCAAGCTGGGGTATGAACTCTGGGGATACATCTTTGCGTTTAGTATTGAAGTTTCCCAAGAAGATCTTTACAACTTTTACACTTAAAAAAAGAAAGAAAGAAAAGTTCCTGCATAGTGTGCTCCAGGAAACTGAAGAGAACATTTGCTTAGGACAGGACCAAAGCAATTGGTTCTAAATACAGAAGAGGGTGGGCGTGTGCCATTTCCTCCCTTCAGGCTGGACCGTGGTAGTAACTGGAGGTCGCGGTAAGGAGTCATTCATTAATGGCCACTGTTACTTATTCTTGGTTCTTTGTCTTTGACTGATACATAACCAAAAAAGAATACAGACAACCTGGATTTCTTAAGGATGTATTTAATATGTGTGTAGTGAAATCGACACATTGCAGACTAGACCCATCTCCCTGGTGTCTGCTGAACATTTATACACACTGGTCAGCTATAAGAACACAAAAACAAAGTCATCAACAAAAGCAGAAGCCATCCAGAACCTGTTTCTAGAAATTATATACAATGGCTTATCCATTCACGCACACTTTTCTTTTAAATCAGAGAAAAACCGAAACTTCATTCCCGTGTTCAGAAATGACTGAGAGTGGAAACAACTATTTAACATGGTCAAAAGTGAAACCAGGAAATCATCAAGAGCCTTAGATGACATTTTTACATGGATTAAAAATAAAAGTGATTGAAAAAAAATGTTAATTTCCAAAAAACAGCAGAAGATAAAGATGTGTTCATTAGTTGAAAAAGATAATCAGGAAAGTGACTCTAACACCCGAGCCAGTGGTGCCCATAGAAGAATTCTCCCCCCCTTCCCTCTGTCTCCCCGTCCCACCTCACCCCTCTCTCTAGGGTGTCTCACCGTAGCCCAGGCTGGCCTGGAACTCACTGATGTGGTGAGGTTCCTCATGGACTATTTGAGACTGCCAACCTCATTTGGAGACCGCAGGCATGTGCCATCACGCCAGGCATCACAGGAGGAATTCGAAAGGTGGCCCACCCTTGTTCTTGGAAGTAGCTTTTGTACTTTTCCAGGGTGTACTTTCAGGATTCAGGATGTCCTGACTTCCACAAAGACATGGGAGATACTCACTAGTTATTCAAATTTGATAATACTGTATTAAAAAATATGTACCACTTCTTCATCTTAAAGAGGTCTATTAAAATAAATGGCTATGATCTTATGAACATTTTAAGATACAGTTAAATTTTCATTACCTACAGAAGACTGAAGGCTATTTAAAATGCCTTGTTGGAAGCAAAGAAAAAACCAAATTCTCAGGATCAAAACCACCAGGTGTACAAAACACACTACAGGATAGTGACTAAGAAGAGTCTCAGAGACTGGTGTGGGATGTCATTTATTAGTTTGAATTTTCTGTCCAAGTTATTTTTAGGGGATTCTGTTTGTGGTGAATCTTGGAGTCCACCTGCTCACTTAGCTTCCTGGGGATTCCATTCTGAGCATGACTGAGCTTTCTCTTATTTTCTTATATTGGTGCCAGTCTACCCCTAGCTGCTTGCTTTCAGTCAAGCTTTCTATCCTGGAGTGCATCAGTCTCCGCATCCTCCTGCCCCACTGCAGACTCAGCCCAGAGAAGGCAATTGTCTGTTTTAGTCCTTTCCAGTGTGCCTACCTCAGTGACCTGTAGGAAGAGTCCAGTGTTAGGGACCTTGAGGTTGCTAGGTGATTCTGTATCATTTGAGAATGGTCACTGTAGACTTTTTCAAACTATACTCTAGAAGAGGCTGGCAGTATTCCCTAGTTCTAATCCCCCACTCCCTTTTGGGTGTTCACAATGAGAGTTAGCAAACAGATTAAAGGCCCTGAGAAGTCCTGAGTATAGCGGTAATGTTAAATAAGTGTAAGCATGTACTAGAACACACAGCAGTGCAGCTGCCTCTGCCCGGGCCAGGCTCTAGTAGGTTGGTGAGTCTATTTACTCTCTAGCTCTCTTCTTCTTGGAGGAGCACACCATCCAGACTGGCTGTGAGCCTCGAGATTTTTGCTATGTGTATGACTTCCCCCTTGACCTTAAGTTTTCCCCTTCAACAGCAGAGAAGACTAGCTCCACTAAGCTCCTGCCATGTTTTACCCAATTTGTTCTTTAAATATGCAGCCCACATGATAGATTCATCTTCACTATCCAAGTATAGAGACCCTTCCCCCTCCCTCTCTGTGTGTCTCTGTGTATGTGTACGTTTGTGTATTTGGTATACAGCTGGAATGGAAAATGATATATTAATCAATTCTGCCAGTTGTCATGTAGACCAGACATCTATACCTGGTCTCTCTTCACAGCTCCATTGCCTACCTTGAAGGTAGAACCAATGTCTGGTAGTGATGTTGGCGGAGAAAGAGAAATCTGGTTCCCTGCCTTCCGGAGCCCTAAGGAATGTCTAGTGGGTTCTTCCCCACACATTTGCCAACACAGAGCCATGTTCCACAGCGAGGTGCAGGGCACAGCTGCCCTGGTGTTGAGGTGGCCCTGTGCCTCCCTCTGCTGGAAGCAGCACAGATGGGAGGATGCACAGTGTACCCCCGGCACTACGAAGAACGTCCCCAGACTCATATTGGCTCTTTCATATCGACGCTTTCTTCTCCTTTCCTGTCCCCAGACCAGCAGTCATCTCTGGAGGTCCTCCCCTCATCAACGGTCCAGCTCCTTCACAAGCCTTGGAAACTATCAATGCTTGGGTAGGCCAGCACTTTCCTTGTTCCTGTCATCCCTGCAGGCAAGCAGAAGAGGACAGGAAAGACCGTGGCGCCTAAGATGCCCCCTCTTTCTCTTACCCTGTCTCTGTATGTATGTGTGTGAGTCATCCACAACAGTCTATGCAGAGTATATGTGGAAATCTAGCTTCTCCTCTTCTGTTTGAATGACTCTGGGTGTTTGGAGAATGCTGCACATCTGGGACAGGATGCTTAGCTGCCTGACAATACCCAATGTCAGCAAAGCTTTTGTGACTCACTGTACAAAATGAATACATGTCTTCTTGGGTTGCGATGGCAAAAGCCTCCTGTCCCACCTACCTGTTTCTGAATAGCAAACAAGTTTAAAACTTACATTTAAAAATGCTCTATATACTTAGATTGATCAAATATTTGTGACTCAAGCTGTGGTCAGCAGGGACAACTCCTCATTGCCCCAACAATCACTGAGGTTGGAGGACGAACTGCTGAAGTGTATGGTCTTCACATGGAGGCCTGTTCCCTATAGTGGCCTCAGGTACATGCCCTCCTCACGTGGTGTCCCAAGATCCCTTCCAGTCACTAAGTTGTCTTGATTAAATGGAAAATTGATTGGAGGCAGAAACTGAAATGGGTGTTCAGTTTTATAAAAGGCAGTCATGTGATCCACCTTTGCTCCCAAAGGTTTTGAGTCTGTGAACCCACTTTTACAAGCAGTATTAGATGAGGATGAAATGGGATGCTGGCTACAGAATGGGTGTAGTGGGTAGCTATTCCAGCTTGGTTCTGGAAGTTCCAACCCCCATTGAGACTCTGACAACTGTCACGCCTACGAGGCGGGGCCAAGGGAGGCATCTGGAGACCCGAGACCTGGATGGGCAAGTGCTCTCTCTGTTCCTGGACCCTGGACGGTGGAGGTTGACTGAGCAGAGCTCCAGAGAACACCGCTGGATTGTGATACACCTTCCCCAGACCCCCCACAACCTATCTATTCCTTCATTTGTAAGTCATCCACTAAATAAATCTTCCTTTTAACTACGTGGAGTGGCCTTTATAATTTTCCCCAATAAATGGGAGTAAGAATGCTGGCTACAGAATGAGAGTATGGATGCTGG